TATTATTATTATTATTATTATTATTATTATTATTATTATTATTATTATTATTATTATTATTATTATTATTATTATTATTATTATTATTATTATTATTATATTATTATTATATTATTATTATTATTATTATTATTATTATTATTATTATTATTATTATTATTATTATTATTATTATTATTATTATTATTATTATTATTATTATTATTATTATTATTATTATTATTATTATTATTATTATTATTATTATTATTATTATTATTATTATTATTATTATTATTATTATTATATTATTATTATTATTATTATTATTATTATTATTATTATTATTATTATTATTATTATTATTATTATTATTATTATTATTATTATTATTATTATTATTATTATTATTATTATTATTATTATTATTATTATTATTATTATTATTATTATTATTATTATTATTATTATTATTATTATTATTATTATTATTATTATTATTATTATTATTATTATTATTATTATTATTATTATTATTATTATTATTATTATTAGCTTTATTCAATATTATATTATTGGTACAATATAGAATTCTCAGCACAAAGTATTTCAGCAAGTTTCCGTTTCTTTCTTGGTCGGTCTTTGCGATAAATACTGAGTGATCGCCAGCTAGATGTTAACAGTCCAGTAAATGAACATGGGAATGATGTACATTCTTTTCGTTGTATATTGCCAGCAACAATATTCTCTCTTTTTGAGCTTTTTGTAACTTTGACAACGAAAGGTTGTACACTTTTCAGAAACGCAGCAGAATAGGTTGTGTGATTAATAGACATAATGATATGTTAAAACAAACAAAAATAGATAACTCGTTGAAATATCTAGATGGCAGGAACAGGTAGCCCAGATGCTCAAGCAGGCCGCCTTCTAGCCATGTATTGTGGTTTAGTACAATTTGTGCATGGAATTTTAGTCTGAAAACTAGACATAATCCTATCTGACCGGTCTTGACCATCACTACTGACCTATCGAGTTTCTTTATAGGATCAAGGACAATTTGAACGGATCCATACAGTATTAGATCCTGCCTTCCTTATATAATTTATTATTGACTCCTATCGATATCTCATTATTCATTACTGCTTATTTACTATTTCATTTGGTTTAGGTAATAATGGTCCACAACCATTTTGTATTGAATATATTGGTAAAGATTCATGGCTACCTCGAAGTCATACATGTTTTAATCGATTAGATCTACCACCATATCGATCATATGAACAATTAGCTGAGAAATTATCTTATGCAATTGATGAAACAGAAGGTTTTGGACAAGAATAAAACTTTCTTTTTATGATTTAAAAAAAAACAAGAGAAACTTACAAATTATAGTGCCTTTTTTCATATGTATATCTTATAGACAAAATGAAAAGAGGAATGAAAGTGGAAAAAGAAAACAAAGATAAGATTGAATGATAGATTATTTGATTACATAACCATTTGACTGAATTGTATTGTACTTTGATGCCAATGGTTGTTGTTGTTGTTTTTCTCTCTTTCCTATCCAGATGATGTGAACTTTGCTAGTTAAATTCATTGTTATTCATAACTATGATCAGATCTCTCTCTATACATACATGTATTATTTATAGAGAGAGATACAATTGAGAATTGTATTGTAACCCATTCTATCTTTGTCACACACACACACAGGCATACATAATGAAAGACACTAATGAAGTGGTTCATTAATTACTTAATAAGAGACATACTATCAATTGTATATTGCATACAAAGTGAATTTAATTTTTCAAGGCAATATAAACATTTGTCTTTCTTGTACTACACAGTATTGGTTCTCTATTCTGTTATTACAGGTTATCTAACTTGTTTGAATTTTTTCTTTGATTTCTCTTTACTTCTTGTTTACTATTATTTCAACTATTGCTGTGATCTTCTCTCCCACATTGTGAGTAATATGAATTCACATTTTATTGTATCCATTCCAATGTTGTACACACAAACGCGCGCACGCATGTGCAAATCCTGATTATTATCATCAGTTATTAAAACCACTATTCAATCACCGTTTTCCTAAGTCGATGCGCGCACAAAGAAATAATGAAGGCTTGATGAAACATTAAATTAAATTCCCCTGACCTAATTGCGTGTGTGTGTACAGATCTTCCACTTTATAAATATACTTGACAAGTTGTACGCATACCGTTGTTATGAAGCATTGTAAATGTTCTTTTTCTGTTTAGAGAGATGGTTTATTTGTTGTTGTTTTTTGTCAGTGAAAAACAAAAGCCATTTGTAATTCTTCTATTGACTTGAATCCACTATTCCTATTTGATATTGTTGTGCTTGGTAGTTGATTTTCATGATCAGTTACCCACATAAGTATAGATTATATGTATGACCTTGAATGTTGTTGGGAGTATGCGGGCGGTTTCATATACTACGGAAGGACACTTCTTTTTGAGGAGGCTGGAAAAGAAGCTGGATTAGTAGTGATCTTGACGATCTGGGAGCGTGGCCGTGAAACACAAGGGACAGCTCTTGGAGGTCGGTCACATATAGTCTTTTGTGAGTAGCTCTTGATGTGCTAGCGCTGTACTTTCGAAGCTTAGCGGCCAGTGACGGAAATCCGTAAGATGAGGTAATGTATGTTATTTACTGGGTCGACCGTTTCTGTTCCTCAACTAGTCTCTATAGTATGGTAATATCTAAATGAACAAATATTCTAGTTGATATAACTCTTTTGGCTCATCTTAATATTCACATCCGACCACTACGTAGTAGCAGCTACGGTCGGGGTTTCGGTGACACTACTGTCCCAACGTAGAATATAAATGCCGAAGGACTTCCTATAAGGATCGACCTGCATTTTATCGATTGTAATGAAGTGACAATACCTAAGGGTGTAGTTAGTGGGTAGCATGTAAACCGAAATAGGAAATCTCAAGCTAGTTAGTGCAAAGAAATTACTACTTCTTTTATTGAACTACTCATTATGTCAATTCGACTAGTAATAATAGTTCAGCAACTTATGTCCTAATATCAAAAATATGCATCGGCCACCGCATCAGCACAATGATATGGATTCCACGGTTATATGAGAGTTGAAGCCGAAAGAATTAAAAATAAAGGATATGGTTGGCGAATTCATAAAACAAAAGGAATGGAATAAGATTAAGACTCAGGATAGACTAACAGTAAATATATTTACGTCTTTGTTTGTTAAAATAATTTTAAAATGTGAATGTATCCAACTAAGTTTCTTAGCTGTCTGTGGGATACTCGATGTTCACAACCATACTTCCAAGACCTAGAAATGTAAGAGCGACAACAGTGATTTGTATATATCTAAGGTCTTTTCTGAATACTATCTTAATGTGCGGCAGTAAATACAGATGTGGTTGACCACTGAGCGTAGACTAACAAACACTAACTATTTAATGTGATTTCCTTTCCTATTATTGATTTGAACTTGGGGTTCTTATGATTGTGTTGAATAATTTATTGTCCTGTGTTCACCAAGCGAACGAGAATACAACTCTGAATCACTCGTACCTGTCCTTTGCTCAACCAAGATGGATGGTGTTCTGTTATGCGATGCTAATGAAAGAATTGCACCGTGTTTCTTCGGTGGGATCATTTAGGAATTGTATTTGTATTGTAATTATCATTTCAACTGTTTCTATGAAGCAACTTACATAAGGAGTACAATTCGGCAAGTTCTTCATCACTATACTACGAAACTTATGAAGAATTTAGAAACTTAAGATTTAAAGTAAGACAAGGAGTGGACGTATCCGCATTACTGTGAACGAATTTGAGCCGTCACACTATGCTGACTCCAACCAGATAGTCTGTACCTACTTACAGGGCTTAGTCCAATACTCATTTTCATTGTTGATTGATACCACGTTCTGGTTCGGACGACCCTAGCCTCAATCCAACCTATTCCTACATCATCGTGCGTCGAAGCAGGCGGTGGATGGGCATACATTATACATATCCGAACCACTTCAGTCGATAAAGATTCATTACCTCGTCTATCGATTTGTCACACTTAGAGCTCCGGGTTAAACCTCAGAACTTGATTGTACGAAATATGCAAGCAATGGTTCAAAGACACCCAACATCGAATGTCGGTACAAACAGGCATTGAAATAAATGTGCATCATACATTGTGAAGAAATATAAAAATAAGAGTGAGTATAATAAAAGAAGAAATAGATGAATAAAAAAACTAGGTGAAGTTAAGGTACAATGAGAGAAACAGTTGTTTCAGAAAATGAACGGAAAGAATCCTGTTTGGTAGAGGAGTTTCTTACTTTTGTGAAGAAATTGGAAAATCACAGTAGGATCTACATTGGCTTCCTATCTGAGTCATGTTCGGTTACGTTTCAAGCCACTGAGTTGAACTACCACTCGGACTCCAACCAGGGACTTGTGATGGACCAACAGATGTTAGTCCTACACAGCTTTCTCTCATACCCGTTGAACATGTCTTAAACCTACCATTTCACTTTCTCCAACCAGTCATATAGTCAGTGAATGAAGGGCGGTGTGGAAGTCGCCAAAATGGCATTTGTAGAGTACTTATTTATTTGAACACATAAATATTGGTACAAAGAGGCACAGAAGTGCTTTAAACACGATATTTTACACACAGACTAATATCGCGACATCACCAATCTCTGATTCCCAACGGAAAGCGTTGCAATACTTCCATGATTTTCATCTACAGTCAATAAATAAAATAGAACTTCGGAGCTCGCACACATATGCACTAATCTAAGCTCATACTTTAGATGTACATAAATTATATTACCCGACCTCAGGCCACGCCATGCATTTATTTAACTCACTTCGTACTAATTCATGTACTTAGCTTCGCGCTATACTGTAAGTGTGAGAACTGGTGACACCCACGTCTGTCCTAACTGAAGTAGGTGGAGTGAGATTCGAACCAGTGACCCACTTCAATAAGTAACAGGAAAAACAATATGTGAACTAAATTATTCTATTATACAATATATACAGACATTAAGGTGCAAACCATTTGCTACACCCTTTCAAAGGTTGAAGTTTGTTATTCTCTACCTTTTTGGAGACATCAGAAACGACTTCATCAGATTTGTCAGCATCGCCATCCATTAGAGTATCAGCAGCTTCTGATGGACGTTTGTCTTTGAACAGATCAGGAAAAACAAAAACTTCACCAGGGGCCTAAACAAGATAATAAGAGAGGAATTACGGAGTTAAGTGAAATTATTGACCTAAATAATAGCTGACAGTCGAGTTACATAAGCAAGGTATCACTAAAGCAATTCACAGTTTCTAATTGATAATTGATTGCTAACGCAATTACTAACAGTAACCAAGCAAAGAGAATCCTTGCAATGCTGTAAAAGAAAATAGTCTTAACGTACGTTATACTGAGACTTTTTTTCTCCCCAAAAATAAACACATTCCTTAAATATGTAAAAATAATAACATTCTTATCGACAGAACTATGTAGATGAGAACAAGCAGATTTACAAAAGAACATAACAAGCGAACCAAGTCAACAATCAGAACCCACTCGCTATCAAGAACGCTAGTTTTTAATTAAAGCAATTGATTTTCGGTATCTGTTTTAAAAGTGCCAGTAGCCTTATCACGGAAAATAGACCGAAATGATTGAGATCAATTACACTCATACTTAGTAACCTTCAATTTGGTTTTTTAACCTATGGTTATGTTTCCGACACATGATTTGAACACTGTGAAGATTTATTGGCAAGGCAAGGGTTCCTGTTAGTTTCACGAGTGTAAATTGTACCTTGACAGAGCGAAATGCATGCCATAATTACGGACAACTGTGGTCAACAGAATAAGTAGATTATATGCAAGTCATATGACATCCCATAGTACGTTGTAGCTGACTGACTGACTGATAGTAAAACGAATTATTTAGTAAATTAGTCATAAGCGTGTCGCTTCTATAATCGACTACAGTTGTTCTTTTACATTTCAGCCTTTGAAACGATTTAGCAGCTACACGGTCGCAATGCAACAAAAACTGGTGTAAACCAAGCATCTAACTTATTTTTCTACATAACTCAATGCACCGTAATAAAACGCGGTTTGACTAACTAAAAACATATCAAAATAGTTTGAACATATATATTACAGAAAACAAGGTAGAAATATATGCTTGGTTAATCTCCGTTTATTAATAAAGGAGAAAACTTACAGAAACAAAAACCATTAGTAAATCAATCACAGATCGACCGAACTAAAGTCACAACTAAGCAGTTTCAATTACACTGAATCCTGGAAAGCAAATATTACTTAGTTTCCAGAGTGCTACTTAGATTTTTGTCCGTAGTACCTTACTACAACCAGTTTTGTGAGGTTTCTGAGTACCGATCAGTGCAAACCTAAAATCAAGAAAAGCATAATGTTTTGTGCTACTACATACACTTACACAAAATCGAGTTATTGCTTCACTAATGATGACGAAAAAGTATGTTTCAGAAAGTGATTTCAACCATTACACTTTAATCCATCGAACTAACGACTTTTACAGTCGTGTATTCATAGAATTCTAGCAAGATTTTTTAGTAAACTGAACTTCTATTTCACTGGTGAGTTCGTGAACCCAATTTGACTATGATTCACTCCAGGAAAATCATATATCACTTTTAAAATAATTGGTATGACATTTTTGTGATGAAAACTGAATATAAAGAGCAAAGTAGTCACGTGAAAGATCAAGTACTGAAAATGCATCATGGACGCTGTCTCCCATTAAAATCAACCGACGAAATGGTACCAAGAAAAAACTAGACAAGCAAAACCAAAATTGTCAGTCTCCCGAACATTCTAATAGTTTTGTTAATAACCAAACATTTATGTTGAGAAATTTAATCATGTACAGAATTAAGTCTTACCAAACGAACATATGCAACCTTTTCATAGCGTTCAGGTTTAGGGGGAAATTGTGTGGAATCGAGTGATCTCTGAGCTTTACGGAGTGGCGGTACATCAACTGGTTCTACTGCACGAATAGTTACTAAATAATTAGAATTTACAATCGTGATGAACCATCTTTACTCGAACATCTACAACAGGAACATTGTAAATCTTTTCTAGATACTGCTGTACGTCGCGCTTAGTCATTCTGAGATAAGAAATTACTAGGTAATTACTGTGGGTGGACTTTGAAAATAACATGGTTAGGAGGATTCTTTGGACCAGGATACATCATTTTCATCCAAAACGGAGGCAGAAAACATGGCACTGGAGGATCACCAGGAAAAACCTTAGGATATTCAACTTGTCGCCTCCACAAAGGACTGTCATAATCTGAAAAGTAATCAGCTAACACCTACAAATAGTGTGTTGTTTTGGGTAAGCATATCGGTCGGATAAATATCACAGGCCGTACCCCAGGCATTTGAATCTTGCGCTTACTAAGTCAGTTTCTTCACCCAATAACCGGTTGTTGTTCAAAACCAGTTGATTTGGACAGAAGAATGGACTTGTCGCCTACTATAGCTTTCAGCGGTACTTCACACATAATACGAAAATTAATTGCTGACACAGGTAAGTTCTATTCATATATTGTTGATACTGCGTGCTTTAAATTTGAGGTCTTTCTTGCGTCTTGTCAAAGTTCTAGACTTTCTAGGATTATTATTGTAGCGGTAAATAAATCCCCAAAATAAATAGCCCTGTAAGTTTTCGATATTGGATGCTGACCATATGTTTTAGTGGACTCATCTAGCTGAAGGTGCTCGGTCATGCATCCGCACCAGATCACGTGTGGTAACGCTGTGCTCAACATCTACCGCAATCGCTAGCCAGATTAGATCAGAGAATGCCGATATATTGGTTATCTCCAAATACACTCATCCGATCTCCTCGACTCTGTCTTTTGATTTCTCTGGGTGGTTACGAATTATATTAGGTGTTACTGGTAGAAGCGTTGTCAAAAACTGAATACCTGTGTCATCTGCATTAGCATTTATTTGGTTTATTTTAAATTCACACTGGTGTAATCCTTATGGTTTCTTTCAGCTCTTCTTGGTTTTACCGTTTTTGGTACCGTTCTGTGTGGAGTAGTTTAGTCACGTGTTGCATTATGCCTAGTATCCCCGACAGAGGATCAAGAATTCCTGGAATATCATGAAGAATATAAAGATGAAAAAAATCTTAAGATGACTCGTATATTCTGCTTTGAAGATGTTTTGTTAGTCTTTCTCCTGAAAGGACAAGATTGGGTCAGTCGAAAAAATCTACGACACTTTCTCACTTAGTTTCATATTACCTTTACAATAATCTTCAAATTTGTTAAGGGTAACGTTGTTGGTCTAGAACAAATCCGAGTTCATCTAACTCCTCAGCTGAAAGGAGGATGACCTGTTTTCAATACTTGGGAGCTGGAATTATAGCGATCTCTGAAATGTACAGGATACTAACTTACAATAAACATCTGAACTAGCTTCCCGGATGGGTGGGACATATTTTGATAGGTTAAAGACCTGTTGTGTCTCAGTTTTGCAGGTTGTTGTAACGAAAAAACATAAGTTTCATGAGACTCATCATTTAAACACTCAGTTCTACCTGGAGTATTTCTTACATATGTTAACTATCGGCTTGAAATGTCATGTTCATATCCTGTTACAGCAACTAGAGGATGGAGTCCTTGCGAAAATCCGGTTTTTTTCACAACCATTTCAGCTTCTTATGACGTTCTGCATTTTATTCTGTAAAACGATAATGTAGTGCTAAATTTTTACAAGTTTATAAGCTATTTGCGTTTACAACTTGCAAGCGTCACTTAGTTGTCAGCCTTAAATAACTCCAAACTAGTTATAAACTGGTTTTGAAACTAAGGAATGCTACCAGTAATCCGTCAAGCCTTCAGAAGTCTTAAAAGCTGTCTCAAGTTTAAATCTATCCAAAAATGTTATATTTCCTGGCTATCATATAACACTGTTGTATAGCTGGTATTACCTACTGAGCAAAATAAGCTTGTTAGGTCTCTCTCCCCAAACCTTTATTGTTTAACTCATGGTTTATGTTGCGATAATTGGGAAGTGAAGTAACATTCATTAGATTTAATGCAAATAATGACCAGGTTTGAATGCTTTGGCATTTGCTATCTATCATTTCAAAGAAATCTGTTTTCACTCCTCGTAAGCACGGTGTCCATTTTTCTGCACTTTCCTTCGTTTGATACCCAACACATTGATTGCTGTGGTCAGGAGTGATATGTAAGTACTTCAGATTGACATATAATTAGATGTTTTGTGAGTCCTGTAATGGTAATTCAGTTCTATGGCGTTATTTGTTTTGCATATATTTTCGTTGGCAGAAATATGCTGTGTTATGAAAAGGAAAACTGGTAGAAGTGATTGTGATGGTCATAAAACATAAAACGGTTTGAGTAGCGCTATTTATTGCTAGTTAATAACAATAAGCATTTATGACGAGTAGAGTCAATAAACTGAAAAGCAAAAGTCAAGGATATGGTTAGCCAATATGGTAAACACAATGATAAAATGTTAAGTAAAAAGGAATACAGTCTGTAAAAAGTCAAACAATATCAAAGATTTTATGAGGGTTAGGAACTGCAGGCGACATTTTGTTGATAGTTTTGAATAAGCCAAGAAATTGATATGATGTGCATGAATGTGGAGAGGTGAGGAAAAACAATATATATCAGCCAAACACAAAGTACGTTTGTCATATGAGGAAACTTTTACACACATATATGCTTTTAAGAAAAAAGATCTTAGAATGCCGTGGGATCCATTTTTTATAGTTTCGCATGTCTAGTTATTTGTGAAACTTATTTATATATTCGTCTTGCATCTCAATAACATTCTGTTTCACTCTTAAATGTACGTTGGTGTGTATTTCCCTTATTCTTGGCTCTAGAAGAAACTAATATTGATCCATTTTTGCGATTTCGGTTCTCTTAATTTATCACTTTACTTATGTGCGTCTAGAGAACTGTGTCGAATTTGTTTCACTGGTCATTCTTGAGTTTTCAGCTTCGAGTTTTTCCCTTCATACTTCATAGTTAGATCTACAATGGGCAATAACCCCTTAATGAAGTGGGACTTCTGCTGTTGACAATTATCCAGTTACATTGTTTGTGGCTTCATAGTTTGGTTTTACAGTAATAGTATTAAAAATTGATGTGCTTGAGTGAACTAATTTTCTGAATGCTTGTTATAGAACTTCATCCCTTGCTATTCAGGGACTCATTTATTATACTTTCGCATTCCTTAGCAAGTATCTGCTTGATTTAGTTTTGATTCGGTTGCATACACCTTGCTGAACGACTATTTATGGTATAAAGTACGGTGATACAACCCGTTAATGTACTTCTGTATTAATTACATTCATAATTCTTGTGGTTACAGCCGTAATTTCAATTTATCTAGAGGATAAATTGAACAGAAATGAAAACATGATGAATGTTAAAACACTGCAAAAATAAAATTTATGGACTTCATCTGACAACTGGATCAATTTTTATTTCCCTAGAGCTTGTAGCGTCGTGTCGAGTCGAAATTGACTATGAACACCACTACAAAGGAACTCGTGTCAGGATATCCATAAAATCCCCCGGAAGCGAAATATCAGAAGGCAATTAATGGACCAAGTCGAGATATATTTGCTGGCAATCTTGTGGTATCGAAAGAATAACGTAATCGCGCCAGGATACAAGCTTGGTTACAGATCGTAACGGAATTCGCGTGACATCACAATCAAAGTGTAAGAATAATGGATGCTTTTTAGCACAGTTAAACAAAAGCACATTAGAACAGTCACTGGTACAATTGGTTATAATAATAATTGTTTTCAATAAACCAATCGTGTTCTCGTGACAAAAGAGTCACTACAAGCTCTTGATGGTTTGGCAAAAGTTTAGTATGTGTTATTCAAGATTTTTCATTGACAATAATCATAGAGGTTTTGTGAACTTATTTTATATTTTACCTTGCATTCCTGGCTGAGAAATTTCACTGTCTTTAGTCAAATCATACACCAGGAAAAAGCGCTTCCACGTTAGAGCGTAATGGCATTGTGCAAACCAACCACTATTCCCTCACATATGAGTCGTCGAAGTTTGATATCACGGTATATGCGGCATCAATCAACTACTAAACAGAAATTACGGTACAATTTAATCTGCTCTTGTTATTGATAGTTGTTTGTAGTACAGCATAAGACGTTTTGATATCTCAAGGTCATCGGAGGTTGAAGCGGACCCGGATTTTCTGTAAATATTTATTATCAGGGATGAGTTAGTATGATTCCTTTCCTTCGTACCTAAAATAAAGCAACATAAATTACTGTAGTCGTTTTCCTTACGCTTTATGTTCCAGACATACAAACCATTTTGTTATGTATTTCTGAAACTTCAATGAAACTCTAATTCTGCTAAAGATGAATATACTTTTTCTAACCGAAGGATGACAGTGTTGTAATGATTAAAGCGATTTTGCACGTAGGCCTCGGGTAAGGTTGAGAAGATCTCAGAGATAAGCATCTCGACTTTCTTACAAATAAAATAACTTGATGTTCAGACTTTAGGTGAAATACACGTCTATTAAGAGTGAATGATGTTCTTAAATCAATATTTACTGTCATACGTGCCTTCACAGCATTGCCCACATAAGTCGAGATTATCAAGCGGGCTATTCTGAGGTATACAACCACTGCTGGGGAAGTCCTACTCACCGTCTCGCACCACGAGTGTTGTTTATGAAATTGAAAGGATGAAAAGCAAGTGTTTAACGCTTTAAACGGGTTGGTGGACATGGAGGTCCACCTAAAGGAATTGGGAAACCCTGATTCTAAACCAATGGTGCACCTATTATTGGTCACCGGCTACCATGGGACTGCATCTGACGTTGCTCCACTGCCTTGTGGATCAAACCTTCAGGTCGAAGGCTCCGGATGTGGCCCCCCTAAGAAAACCACCTGCTTCAGTCTAGGCACCCAGGCAGTATAATAGAACACACAGAAATCAAGTGGATTGTGTGACGCATATGTATTTGGTGCCTCCGTACCAATATTTATGTGTTCAAATAAATAAATAAGATGCATGGTACTAGATGAAGATAATAAATTTTTTGACAAGATAGTGGATTGTCATCATGTATTACATATGCTCAACTATCGCCTACCTCAAAGCGTGATGCTTGCTGAAGTGGGAGTTTACTGAAAGGAAGCTGATAGTGGCAAAACCAAAAACTGAGATTAGTCCATGAAGTCATAGACAATTGGGATATATGTATTTGTCGGTATGTGCAGACTATGTGTTTGTGGTCTGTGCGATAACCACGATCAATAGTTAGAGGTTTTAAATAACGTGTCTCTGGAGCGTTGATAGTGATCCTGATGCATTCACTCCTTATATTCCTCTCAATCAAGGATTTTAGTAACCCTTTGGAATCTGTATTTTCAAATTATATTCGTAATGTGTGGTTTGTATTTTTATCATTACTACTACAT